TCACTCAAAAGGGAGTAGATACGCCATATGGTTTGGGTGGCGTGGATTTGCAATGATGACGCGCAAAGCTAGTTTGCGCTGGGTGAAGATTATTGTGTCGAAATGCAGGTTATTGTGCAACTACTCCGTAGCGTAAACTCGTGGCGAAAATCGAATCGCAACCGTTCGCCCAAACGTGACCCTCCCCTCGCCCTCGCTTTCCTTTCCTATGCTTCCGCTCTCTTTCGCCCGCGTCGTCGCCATCGCTTCCGCAGCTCGTCGCGTACCCGTCGCCTTCGCTCCGCCCGTCGCCTTCACTTCTCCCCCATCGCCTTCACTTCTCCCCCGTCGCCTTCACTCCCCCCCCTCTTCCATTGCCTTCATTTCCCCCTCCCGTCGACTTCACTTCCCCCTCCCGTCGCCTTCAATTCCCCCTCCCGTCGCCTTTATTTCCCCCTCCCGTCGCCTTCATTTCCCCCTCCCGTCGCCTTCATTTCCCCCTCCCGTCGCCTTCACTTCCCCCTCCCGTCGCCTTCACTTCCCCCTCCCGTCGCCTTCACTTCCCCCTCCCGTCACACTCGCTTCCCCACCCATCACCTTCACTTCCCCTCCCATTGCCTTTCACTCTCTCCTGCTCAATCTCTTTCCCCCTGCTCACTCTCTTCCCCCCTGCTCACTCTCTTTCCCCCTGCTCACTCTCTTCCCCTTGCTCACTCTCTTCCCCCCTGCTCACTCTCTTCCCCCGTGCTCACTCGCTTCCCCCCTCCTCAATCTCTTCCCCCCTGCTCGCTCGCTTCCCCCCTCCTCATTCTCTTTCCCTCTGCTCACTCCCCTTGTTCTAACCCCACTTTCCCCATTTCTCACCCATTTTCCCCCTTCACGCTCTCTTACCCCCTCTGCTTGCCCTTGTTTTCCCAACTCACGCCTACATTCACTCTCCCCCCCCCTGCTCACTCTCTTCCCCCCCTGATCATTATCTTTCCCCTTGCTCACTCTCTTTCCCCCCTTCTCACTCTCTTTCCCCCTTCACGCTCTCTTTCCCTCCCTTCCGCCCGTTGCCCCCCTTCGTCTCGCGCTCGTCCCCTCGCAATCCCCGTCTCTCTCTCCCCCTGTCGCCCTCGTTTTCCCCGTCGCCCTCCCTTCCACTCCTCGCTGCCCTCGCCATCCCTCCCTTCTCCCTTCCCATCTCGCACACTTGTCACGCCCCCTTTCCAACCCGCACATACACCCTTCCCTTCTTCCCTGTTTCCTCGTATCCCCTGCGCTTCTTCTCCCCATCCTTCGACTTGCTCCCCCCATCCCCTTCCCTGCTTCCCCCCAACCCCTTCCCTGCTCCCCCCCATCCCCTTCCCTGCTTTCCCCCTTCCCCTTCCCTGCTTCCCCCCGTCCCCTTCCCTCCTTCCCCCGTCCGTCCCCCTCCCAGCATCCCTCCATCCGCTTCCCTGCTCACCCCCATCCCCTTCCCTGCTCCCCCCCATCCCCTTCCCTGCTTCCCCCTATCTCCTTCCCTGCTTCCCCCTATCGCCTTCCCTGCTCACCCCTGCTCCCTCTGTTTCACCCTTGCTCCCTCCCCTTCTTCTCTGCTCACTCTCTTCCCCCTTGCTCACTCTCTTTACTTCTGCTCACTCTGTTCCCCCCTGCTTCCTCTCTTCCCCTCTGTTCAATCTGTCCCCCGCTGCTTCTTCTCTTCCCCTCTGCTCATTCCGTTTACTGTCTTTCCCCCTTCACTCACCCCCATACCCCCCAATGCAGTTACAAGTGCTCAGCACCAGATGTGGCTTTGCCACGGCCTGGTTTATTGCTTGCAGTGTAGCAGACAAAACCGGAAAACAGCATTACACATACACCCCCTAGCTTTGTTCCCTTCTCGAGTCTGGTGATTCCCCTTACTTTACAGATACGGTAATATATTAATTGTTGAACTCCTTGGTATTGGTCATGTGTATGATTGCTCTGAGGCTCATAATCCTGTATTATAAAAAAAGAATCCAATATATGGCATGGCTATACGTGTGTTACTATCAGACAGCAAGCACATGCACAACCAGATGCAGAGCAGACCTGTCCAAACACAAATCAAGAAGTCAGATGTGACGTGGCTGAAGTATAAGGGAATGACAACTGGCAAATGAGGAAGGGAGGAAGTGAGGAATGCAGGAATGAAGGAAGGGAGGAAGTGATGATGGGAGGAAGGGAGGTAGGGAGGACGCTTGGGGGAGAAGCAGAAGGGAGGGGAGGAAGAGAGGCTGGGGAGGAGGGTGGGGAGGAGGGTGGGGAGGAGGGTGGGGAGGAGGGTGGGGAGGAGGGTGAGGAGGAGGGTGGGGAGGAGGGTAGGGAGGAGGGTGGGGAGGAGGGTGGGGAGGAGGGTGGGGAGGAGGCTGGGGAGGAGGGTGGGGAGGAGGCTGGGGAGGAGGCTGGGGTGGGGCGGAATGGGGTGGGCCAGAAAGGGGTGGGGCGGAATGGAGTGGGGCAGAAAGGGGTGGGGCGGAATGGGGTGGGGCGGGACGGAATGGGGTGAGGCGGATTGGGGAGATGAGGGATGGGGAGATGAGGGATGAGGAGATGAGGGATGGGGAGGTGTGGGATGGGGAGGAGAGGGATAGGGAGGAGAGGGATGGGGAGGTGAGGGATGAGGAGGTGAGGGATGGGGAGATGAGGGAAGGGGAGATGAGGAATGGGGAGATGAGGAATGGGGAGATGAGGGAAGGGGTAATGAATGAACGTGTATGCGACGGAAGGGTGCTGCTAACCATGCACCCTCCCACACCCCACGCGATGGGAAGGGATGAGAGGGTGGGCGGCATGGGTAGAGAAGCGATGGTGAATAGGGGGAACGTGATGGGCAGGGGAGTGATGACGACGTGGAGAGAGGAGGAGAGAAGGGAGGTCGGCGGGAAGGCTAAGCGAGGATGATGGGAGGGCAAGCGTGGGCGACGGTGGCGGTGGGCGACGGTGGCGGTGGGCGACGGTGGGGAGAAGTGTGGGCGACGGTGGGGGGAAGCGTGGGCGACAGTGGGGGGAAGCGTGGGCGACGGTGGGGGGAAGCGTGGGCGGCGGTGGGGGGAAGCGTGGGTGACTGTGGGGGGAAGCGTGGGCGACGGTGGGGGGAAGCGGGGGCGACGGTGGGGGAAGCGTGGGCGACGGTGGAGGGAAGCGTGGGCGACGGTGGGGGGAAGCGTGGGTGACTGTGGGGGGAAGCGTGGGCGACGGTGGGGGGAAGCGTGGGCGACGGTGGGGAAAGCGTGGGTGACGGTGCTCCAAAGCGTGGGCGACGGTGGGAGGAATCGTGGGCGATGAGAGGGGAAACGTGAGGGAAGGTGGGGAAAGGCGTGAGCGACGGTGTGGGGGAAGGCCGGAGGAAGCGTGAGCGGCGATAAGGGGAAGCGTGAGCGACGATGGGGGAAAGCTTGGGGGACGGTGGGAAGAGTGGGCGTGTGCGTGGGGAGGTGTGTGAGAGACGGTGGGGAGAAGCGTGGGGGACGCGGAAGGCGATAGGTCCAAATGCGATGTTTGGGAAAGAGCTAGGAATAAAAGTGAAAATGCTCATGGCCTATGCTGTAGTGACATTTTATTCTATCTCTTCGCATACTCTAATCGCTTCGCGTACTATGGAAATCACACGACCTGAATTACCGAAGAAGGCAAACTGTGCACATTTTGAGCCCTTGTTCCTTCAGGAGGGTGTGGTTGGGACTCTCGCCAACCAAACCTGTTCTGCTCTACGACTCTGTGTTTCTTGGCGCAATGTTTTCTGGTAACTAGCCTGGCTCGGGAGGTCAACTGTGGGTTCGGTAAGCAAACTGTGCACAGTTTGCCTTCCTTTTTTTTTTGTAATTCAGGTTTGGGCTTTAACGAAATGTTCCTCGTCGTGGAAGCTGCGCATAAGGTCGCTTGCCCACTACATACATACCCACGGCCCAGCCGCGCATATGTTTGTGCGTAAGACCTGACTATAGAACAGACACTTCTATCTACAAGTGAAGTTGGAATCAGCCGTCTAATGAGTAAATTCACGACTGTGCGACCTGTTTTCGTCCGAATCTGACGTCAGACACCAGTTTGGTAACATCCGTGCGAATCCAGGCATGACATTGCAGGACGTGCGATTGCTGTCAGTAGTCAGACCTATGATACGGCGATTTTTCGTTGTCGTGAATGGTCGCAAGCCCTGGGAGTATGTGGTGTGTGTGTTCCCTTGCGAATCATGTGCAATAACTGCCCCTGTTTGCTTTGCGCACTGGACTGGTTTGCTCAAACCTGCCCGGCAAGGCTAAAGTTTTCAATGCCGCCTTCAGAAACCCATTGAAATAGCACGAACTTTGACGATCGGACTTTCGATGTAGAGCATTTCAGATCCGACGGCTATGAACGCAACGCATTGTGACAAAAGGTCACTGTGCTGTCGACTTTCGTGTTTCAAACCTCACTCGCCACCCATTCCCGCGCGCCGCGCTCATGGCATCATCACCCAGGAGCCGCGGACATGCGCTCCGATTTCATAACTTCGACAAATTCCTTTCGGCGTGGGGTAATCTGGGGGGATGTGGCAGCATGGGAAATCACAGCACCAGCAATCAATCCCTCTCTCGCACCCTTGCCTCCCAATTCCACCATCCACACCATTTTGCCCCTTCCATCGCTATGCCAAGGTGATGATCTCGGGTCCCTCCTCCCTTGCTCCTGCCAACCTAACCTGGCTTTCTCTAACGCAGTCAACTTTGGAGAGTGGTGCTCGTTTCGTCTTCTTCAATCTCGATCTGCAGCACCCTTCCCTTTGCTGTCCTTTCCACAATCGGTCTGTCAAACGAAAGTCAGAGAGCTTTCCGAAATGGCTTCGGCGCAACTAGTAATGTTGACTATGAAGCAAAGTCGGCCATCTAGAGAGTAGGGATAATATTAAGGATCAATGCTTCTCCTTAAGCCGCTTAAATAGGTCATGGTCGCGATATTTAGCCACGCGCAGAGCGGCAATATCTAGCCCCGATACTCTCGTAGGTTCCTTAGCGCAGCAGAGCCGCACAATGTCGGACGATTCAGTCCTCATCCACCTCCCCCTCGCCTCCCCCGGTCACAACGCTCCCGCCACCAAAATGTCTCTCGACGATCCCTCCGCACCGATTTCCCTCTTCGCGCCGCAAATCAGCCCCGCGCCGCCGCTCTGGGCGGCGCTCGACGCCATGCACGGGCTCGACCCGGGCGGCGCGAACGCGTGCTTCACCTCGTCGGAGCGCCTCTCCGACACGGAGTTCGCCGACGACTTCGATCCGTCATCTCCTCCCGGCCCGTCATCTTTTCTGACGGCCGCCGACGACATGGAGGCGCGCCTCTCCCGCCCGTCCCCGCACACGCGGATCCCGGAGGCGGAAACTCCGCGCAAGAGCGGGGGCGGGGGGGCGGGAGGGGATGGCGCAGGCGGAATGTGCTGGTCGCCGGCGTGGCTGCCGAGCGAAGACGACATTTTCAATGACCCAATCAGCGGCGACAGCACAATGCTGCACGAAGCGCCGCCTTTTGCGGGAAACAGCGGCGGGAGCGGCGGAAGCCGCGGGTACCAAGGAGAAAGCGGACCGGGGATGGGCGCTGGGGCGATGCCCGCCGGATCTGGCGGCGGTAATCGTGGGATGGGGGGTATGAGTGGCGGGAATAGTCCGTTTGGAGTTAATCTGTCCGGGACGGACTCTGCGGGTTTGCTGCTCTCGCGCACTTCGCCGATGCCTGGGATGACCGTGCAGGATCTAATCATGGCTGTTGATTCGGTGAGCTTCGCCACCCCTGCGCCGCACGGCAGCCGGGCGATCGGCGGCGGATCGGACGGAACGTCGTTCAACAACACCCTTTCGTACACTAACGGGCCGCCTAGCAACAACGCGCCGTCATCTTACACCAATGCGCCCTCCTACACTAACGGCCCGTCTTACCCCGCCAACCAATCACCGGAGCCTTGGTCCCTCACCTCCTATTACGACACGCCCGTTTCCGATATCCTCTGCGAGACCGGCCAGGCCTCCACGTGTCCGTCTTCCATTGGCCCGTCGTCCACATCGGATGTTCGTGTCTCCCCAACGCCTCAGAGCGACCTGTTTCCGGGAAATGCTGGTCCCGCTCCGATCGCCTGCTCGCCTAGTACTTATCGCGGGCTGGCTTATAACGAGGCTCGGCGGGCAGTGCGGGGCAACCTGATGGACCGTCTCAACGCGCGGGAAAACGACACGCGGCCGCTGGATGCGTCGCAGCAGCCGCTTCTGCAGCAGCAGCAGCAGCAGCAGCCGCAGCCGCAGCCGCAGCAGTACACCCCTAACAGTCAACAGCGGCAGATGCAACAGCCGCAATCGCAGATGCAGCAGCAGCAGCAGGCGCAGTACGGCAGTGAGATGAACCACAGCAGCAGCAGCACGGCGCTGGTTCGCGACCTCACCTTCTCCGACTCCCCCGCTCTCGCCGCCGCTGCCGCCGCCGCCGTCGCCATCGTAGCGGGCGACAGCATTTCCCCGCGCGCACCGTCGCCACTGGGCCTAGTGGACCTCCCCCCTCCCCCTCCCAGGCCGCCGCAGCAGCCGCTCCTGCAGCAGCAACAGCAGCAGCAGCGGCAATCACCGCAATACCAGCAGCCGCAGCAGCCACTACAGCCGCAGCAACCACCACAGCAGCAGCAGCAACAGTCACCTGTGTTACAGGCCGGTGGCAGCGCGGCAGAGAGCAACATCTTCGCTGGGCTGGGCAGCCTCGATGGCTCCCCTCTGCCCATGCACCCCGCCGGACTCCCCGCTGACTCCGGCTCAGGCTCGGGGCTAGGCTCGGGCCTAGGCTCCGCCCTAGGCTCGGGTTCAGGGTCAGAGTCAGGTGCGAGAGCAGGTGGAGTGAGTGCAGGCAGTGCGAACGGAGATGGATACCCGCGTGGGGCAGAGGGAGAGAGCGCGGAGGCGATAAGGAGCGGAGGGAGTGGGGGCGGTAGCTCTGCTGTGCAAGTGCCACAGCTGCCGCCGCAACAAACACAGCTGCTGCAGCAGCAGCAGCAGCAGACAGAGGCGTCGAGGCAACAGCGTTCGCCACAAGTGGGAGTGTCGGCCCAACAGCAGTACCAGCAGCAAATGCACCTACCGCCACCGCCGCCGCAGCAGCAGCAGCAGCAGCAGCAGCAGCAGCAGCAGCAGCAGCAGCAGCAACAGCAGCAGCAACAGCAGCAGCAGCAACAGCAGCAGCAACAGCAGCAGCAGCAACAGCACCGGCAACAGCAGCAGCAGCAGCAGCAACAGCAGCCGCAGCAGCAGCAGCACCGGCAACAGCAGCAGCAGCACCAGCAACAGCAGCCGCAGCAGCAACAGCTATACCAGCAGCCGCAGCAGCAGCAGCAGCAGCAGCAGCAGCAGCAGCAGCAGCAACAGCAGCAGCAGCAGCAACAGCAACAGCTATACCAACAGCCAGAGTTCAAGCCTCTTTCCCAGATGGTGGTGTTGCAGCAGCAACAACAGCAGAGGCCGCAGCAACAGCAGCCTCACCAGCAACATCATCAGCAGCAGCAGTACCAGCAGCAGCAGCAGCAGCAGCAGTACCAGCAGCAGCAGCAGCAGCAGCAGCACCAGCAGCAGCAGCACCAGCAATACCAGCTGCAGCAACAACAACAGTATCAGCGCCAGCAGCAAGACCAACTGCAGCAACAGCAGCAGCAACAATATCAGCGTCAGCAGCAGCAGCCGCAGCAGCAGCAGCAGCAATATCAGCGCCAGCAGCAGCAGCACCAACAGCAGCAGCAGCAGCAGCAGCAGCAGCAGCAGCAGCAGCAGCAGCACCAACAGCAGCAGCAGCAGCAGCAGCAGCAGCAGCAGCAGCAGCACCAACACCAGCAGCAGCAGCAGCAGCAGCAGCAGCAGCAGCAGCAGCAGCAGCAGCAGCAGCAGCAGCAGCAGCAGCAGCAGCAGCAGCAGCAGCAGCAGCAGCAGCAGCAACAGGTGCGAGAAGGTGTGGCAAAGCCGATGCTTCTGGGATCCTTCCTGCCTTTCATGCAGCGAAAAGCTTCCAGCGGAGGGACGGCAATAACAGGCTCAGCAGCAGCAGCAGTGCCGGTGGGAGCTAGCACCACTGGTCCCACTGCTGCCAGTTGCAGCGGTGGCGCCTGTACGAGCCGTCGCGTTGCAAGCTCACACAGCCACACCCACACCCACAGCCGCACCCACAGCCACAACCACTGTGGTGATGGTCATGGGGCGTGCAGCTGCATGCAGCATGGTGGCGCGCGTGGCGGTGCCAGTGGGCACCTCGTGCCGCCAGCGCTACAACCGCCGCTACAGGCAGCCCCGCCACAGGTGATGCTACAGCAGCCGCCCGTGCAGCAACAGCCGCCGTTTCAGCTGCCGCAGCAGCAGCAAGGGCAACAGGCGGGCAGCAGCAACAGCAGAGCGGGACAAGCAGCAGGACGCAGCGGCGGCTTTGACAGCAGCGTGGACACGTCAGTGGTCCGAATCCCGCTTGTCTCGCCCTCCCCTCCTCCCTCCACAACCGCCGTACCTCCTGCCTTTGCCCCTCCTCCTCTGCCTCCTCCCCCTCCTGCTCCTGCCGGTTCTGCCATGCCTATTGGTCCAAGCTCATGCCCGGGAATTACTGGGAATAACAGCATGAGCGCCAATAACTTTAATAATAATAACAATAATAATGGCATGGTGGTTCTCAGCGGCAACAACAGTGCAAATAATGTGGGCGGCGGGACGAGCAACAGGGCTGCGTCCGCCAATCACATGCATGCAGCCTGCACCTGCTGCGCTGGTGGCGCTGCTGCTCCTGCTGGTGCAGGTGCTGCTGGTGCTGCTGGTGCTGCTGGTGGCCCAGCTTCCTCGACCCTTCCTCCTCTCACTCGCTCACACTCTGCATCCTACGCTCCGGCAAGCCAGCCCCGACCATCCCACGCCCAGCATCCCTTGTCCCACTCTCAATCCTTCTCCCACACAGCCACACCGCAAGGCTGGCAGCCCAACAGCATGGGAGTCAATAACACGGAAACCAGCATCACTAAGAGCACCCCCAACAGCATTGGTAACAGCATTGGTAACAGTAACAGTAACGGATATAACGGCATGTCTGCTCCTCCTAGGACTCCTGCAGGGACCCCCTCCGCGGGGCCACCCTTCTCCTCTCCTCCCCTCCTTCAACGATACTCCACTCCTCCCACTGCCCCTGCTTCTGCTCCTGCTCCTGCTGCTGATGCTTCTGCTGCTCCGAATGCTCCTAGAGCTTCTTCTAACTCACCACCACTGGCAGCACCAGCAGCAGCAGCACCAGCACCAGCAGCGGCAGCAGCAGCAGGGTCGCCTGCTTTCTCCAACGCCAGCACCCCTGTTATTGCTGCCGCCACTGCTCCCCGCGCTCCGCCCACTCCCCTCTCTCACGCGCCCCTCTCCCTCCCTGCTTCTCGCTTCGGCAGCGGCGGCAACGGCAGCAGCAGTGCGTATCAGAGCAGCAACGGCAGCACCCCTCACAGTAGTGGCGCTCCCTACAGTGGCAGCCACACCCCCAGAGGTACCCCCTTGCTGGTCCCCTCTCGCTCCCTGCCTCCCCCTGCGCTAGACCACTCCTCCCTCGCGCCCCTCACCCTGCAGCAGAAGCGACCAATGCACAGCCAGCAGCAGAAGCACCCGCAGCAGCCGCCGCAGCAGGTGCAGCAGCCCCAGCAGCAGCAGCAGCAGCAGCCACAGCAGCAGCCACAGCAGTCGCAAACGCTGCCCCTTCTACCTCCCCCCTCTCGCCCTCTCCTCTCAACGCACCCTACCCTCCTCCGCTCCCCATCAGCACCACCCTGCACTCCCCCATCCGCCACCACTTCAACCATCACTGCTGCTCCAACCGCCCCTGCCCCTCCTGCTCCTTCTGCTGCTCCTGCTGCTCCTGCTACTCGCGCCCTGGTCCTCCCCCCCCTGACTGCTGCACCTTCAGCAGCCCGTCCCCAAGACGTCAGCAGGCATGCCAGCAGCACTAGCAACGCACCCATGACTGTGAAGGAAGAAGCGACCGGGGCAGGCTCACCTGGGGGAGGTGCAGGTGCCTCTAGAGCAGGTGCATCTGTGGACCTGACGTGCGAGGAGGACGAATTGAAACTGAGCCTGGATGCTGCAGAGGAGACTGAGGGTGGGGGGGCAGTAGCAGGAGCAGGAGGAGGAAAGGGAGGCGCAGTCAAGCAAGCAACATTGACAAACGACCCTAACCCCGCAGGGCACAGCGACACGGTGATGCAGCTGCAGTACGCGGGAGGCAACGGGCCGCTGGGCTTTGGATACAAGATGGTTCCGCGCAGCGCTTCAATCACCACCACCCCCTCCTCCCTCCCCTCCCTGGGCGCTGGCGCTTCATCAGCACCAGGTTCCGCCTCAGCTGCTGCTGCTGCTGCTGCTGCACAAGCGGCACGGGGAGCGGGCGACATGGGCGGGTTTATGGATGATATGGAGGAGGATGATGAGGAGGATATGATGGGGGGTGGATCAGGGTACAGCCGCAAGCGGGGGTTTGTGCAGAACGCTGCGGCGTCGGCAGCGAGGAAGCGGCGGCACGACATGAACCACCGCGTCAAGCGCCTGCTGAACCTCGTGCCCGTCTCCAATAAGGTAATTTACCCTCTGAGTGTGATTACCCTCGAGCCCATTCTAACTATGTGATTTATCTACCCTCTTTCCAGCTTTTATTAGTGCCCGTGCTCGTGGGTTTCTTGATGCTGTTTCAGCTGCTCATGCCCCCTTTCTCCCCCCTTTCCTTTCTCCCCCAATTCCTTTCTCCCCCTTTCCTTTCTCCCCCTTTCCTTCTCACCCCCCCACTACCCTACTCCCCCTTTCCAACTCTCCAACGCCACAGAGAGACACGGCAGCCATGCTGCTGGAGGTGATACAGCTAGTGCAGTCCACCATCGCTCAGATTAAGGTACGCACAACCATCCATTCTTGTCTCGTCTGCTGACTCATAGGTGTCTTTCTCCTTTTCCCACAACGTGCTTGCCCCATGAAGGGCTGCTCTCACTCGTGTTTCGCAAATAGAACCTTGCTGATCTAAAAACGCCTGCTGCTGTTTGTTTTCTCTTTTGGTGCTTCCAGGAAATAACGCTGGGAGAGGACTGCCCACCTGCAGAGCGTGCATGTGGGGTGTGCAAGGAGGAGCCGCTCTCGTCCCTCACCCACCACGCTCCTGCCTCCTCTGGTATCAGCCTCGCTGCCTCCGCTGCAGCCGAGAAACAACAGCAGCAGCAACAGCAGCAGCAGATGGCGGCCAGCCAATCAGGAGCTGCCAGCACATTCTCAAACAGCACTCCCGCTGCAACTCCCGCCGCCGCCGCTGCCCCTGCTGACTCGCAACCTCAGCAGCAGCAGCGGAGCGGGGCAGTGGCACCATCAACAGCAACGTCTGCAGCTCCTGTGGAGAACTCACCCAACTCTAAGCAGAGCGCCCGGGCGGCTCAAGCTGCGAAGCTGAGGATGAGACGGAAGATGCAGCAGGCGCGGCTGGAGGCGGAGCGGAGAGGCACGGGGGGAGCGGGAGCGGGAGGGAAAGATGGTGGTAATGGTAGGACTGGAGCGAGTGGTGGGAGTGGAGGGAATAAGGGGGGTGGAGGTGGAGGTGGTGGTGGTGAGAGGGAAAAGGGACCCATGAAGACTCTTGCTGTGAGGGGTTTTGCTATAGTTAGTGCTAAGTGTGCTAATTTTGTGGCGGCTAAGGTGGTCGTTCCGGATTTTCAGGTGTAGATATGCGAGGGGTGGACGAGAGTTCTTAGTACCGTAAGCAACTACCCTGTTTCTAGGAGGTTGGTAGTTAACGAGTGCCATTTGTACTTGATACATATACATTTATACATTTCTAGGAGGTTGGTAGTTAACGAGTGCCATTTCTACATTTACACGTAGTAAACATCTATATGCAGTTTACTTGGTGAAAAATTTCGGCAGCTATAATTAGTACATGGTTATGTTGATGCAAATCCTGCCTCTCAGTACTGTAACATTTTCTATTGAATACCACAATTGCCATGCATGCGCTAGGGCTGTGTTGCAGCTGTTGGAAACAAGTGATTTACCGTAAGCGCCTCTGTCGCGCCGAAACACTAAGTCGTAAACGAAGCGAAACACAACGAAGCATCAGCAAGTCAACCTTCGGAGGTTGAGCAACTGCTGGAGGTTACGCGAAAGTCAAAGGTCAGCGACCTTTGACCTGACAAATACAGCGCGACAGCAAGAATACAGCGCGACAGCAAGGACAAACAACTGACTCGTTATTGAGCAGTTGCCCGAGTCGTCACTGTATCGAACCGCAACAGCAATAGTAAAACGGTTATTAACTATATCTCTTCGTATTCCTTGTACTCTTATAAAAGCTTGTATCTCTTTGCTTTAATCAATCTACTTTGCCCTCACATACCAGCGCAAGGTGGTTCACAGACTTATAATTAAATGCCTCCGTTATTACATTGTTCCGTTATCAAGACAACTACAACATCAGAAGGCATGGCAACACAGAAGGAGAGAAGCTTGTCAAATTTATATGCCTATGTCATAATAAAATGTAGGCTTTAGTGGGGTAGCTAATGTAAGGTATATGTTTAATTACTTGTACCCAACTTTCTCGATAGTGCCATCACCTTTCACCTTTCCCTTTACTCTCGACAAGGTATGAGAGCAACATAGGTCCTTAGGACCGTTTTAAGACTGTTTTTCAGGGCCCACCACCCGTTTTTTGCCGGTTACCGAGTTACCCCGCCCCTTGCCTACACTGCCCTGAGTCGCGCAGCCCTCGCGCTCGCCTCTGCTGGCCCTCGTACAACCCGCTAGCAGCTCGCCTACTGCCTCGTCAGCCCCGCGCGTAGCTCGCTAGCTGCCTCGCCAGGCCCGCGCGCCGCCCCGCAGCCCCCGTGCTGCCTTATCCTGCCCCGCGCGCCGCTCCGCAGCCCTCGCGCTGCTTTCTACGGCCGCCGACGCGGCCCCGCCCAGCCGCTGACGCGTCCCCGCCCTGCCGCCGACGCGGCCCCACCTGGCCTACGCGCTGCCCCCCGTCGCTCGTCGCGGCGCCTGTGGGACCCGCGCGCTGCCCTGCACCAGCGACGCCGCCCCTGGAGCAGCCGCCCCTGGACTCAGAAGCCTCACCAGCACCTAGAGCAGGAGACGCACTAGCACCTAGGGCAGCAGCCTCACCACCACCTAGAGCAGGAGACGCACTAGCACCTAGAGCAGCAGGCTCTATACCTGGGTCAGGCGGTACGCACAGGTAACAGGCACGGTCAGCACTAGTAGGCAATGCATACATGGCTTTGAGAATAGCATCATAGTCAAGAGCAAAGATATCTACCCTCTGCCTAAGCAGCTCCAGCAAGGTGGGGAGCTCAGCCTCGACGCCAAACTCTGTATGCCAAGCGTCGCTCAGACGGGCGAAGCAGCAAGACTGTTCCTTCTCCTTACACTGAGCTGACAGGCGGTGTTTCTGAGCGTCGGGAGCCTGCGTCTCGTCCTGTCTCGCATGTTCGCGCTGTCCGCACTGGTTGTACTTATCGTCGTGTTTCTCGTGAGCGTCCACCGGCTGTCCCCGACACACACCTCATGGCCCTGCGTCCTTCCTCTGCTCCGCAGCGTGTTCCCCTGGCGTCCCCTCCTGCGTCTTCTCTGCCTGACGGTCCAGAGCCTGAGTCTGGCCGCGCTCGTGCTGCTCACCCTACTGTCACGCGTCTGCTAGCCACAGCTGTCACTGACCCGTCGTTTGAGTCTGCTGCTGCGTCTGCCCTAGTTTCTGAGCTTGCTGACTTTGCTGCTGCCTGTCGTCTAGACTACGCCGCTAGTCTTGTTGCTGAGTCTGAGTCTGTCTGTCCTCCATCCGTCGGGGGTGAGTGTGCTCTTGGCACGGACGTCCTTGAGGACAGGCACAAGGACCTTGAGTGTCTTGCAGCCGCTGCGCCTCATCTCGTGTCCATGCTGATTGCACCTGAGGGAGATCGGGATGCTCCAGACATCCCGACCCCGCGCTCTTACGCTGAGGCGATCGCGGGTGAGTACTCCTCTCATTCGCAGACAGCCATGGACGCATAGATGGCATCCTGGAAGTCCACAGGCACTTACGTTGACGAGGTTCCCCCTCCTGGGGCGAACATCGTCAGTGGCATGTGGATTTTCAGAGTGAAGCGGACGCCAGGTTCTCCGCCTGTCTTCAAGGCTCGTTACGTTGCTCGAGGTTTCAGACAGCGAGAGGGAGTTGACTTCTTCCAGACCTTCTCCCCCACCCCAAAAATGACCACTCTTTGGGTGTTGCTGCATGTTGCCGCTCAGCGTGACTACAAGCTTCACTCTCTTGACTTCAGCACAACTTTCTTACAGGGCAGCCTGCACGAGGAGATCTGGCTACGCCGCCCGCCTGGCTTCACTGGGTCGTTCCCTCTTGGTACCCAGTGGAGCCTCCGGCGGCCGGTCTACGGTCTCCGCCAGGTGCCACGTGAGTGGCACGACACACTGAGGACTACACTTGCGGCTCTTGGGTTTGCTCCGTCGACTGCTGACCCGTCACTGCTTCTGCGCACCGACACTTCGCTGCCGCCGCTCTACATCCTCGTGTATGTCGACGACTTGGTCTTTGCCACTGCTGGCACTGAGGCTCTCGCCATGGTGAAGTCGGAGCTGTAGAAGAGACACACGTGCACAGACTTGGGTGAGGTGCGCAGGTACCTTGGCTTGCAGATCACCCGGGACAGAGCACGCCGCACCATCACACTGACTCAGTCACACATGGTGCAGCAGGTCCTTCAGCGCTTCGGCTTCACCTGGTCCTCGGCACAGGCCACTCCTCTGGCTACAGGTCACTCGCTCCCAGCTCCACCTTAGGACGAGTCCATAGAGCCGAGTGGTCCTTACCCGGAGCTAGTGGGCTGCCTCATGTACCTGATGACCTGCACTCGTCCTGACCTCGCGTACCCTCTTGGCCTTTTGGCTCGCTACGTGGCTCATGGTCGGCTCCGAAAGGTGCACATGGATGCTGCTAAAAGGGTACTACGCTACTTGTGCAGTACATCGGGCATGGGGCTCGTGCTTGGAGGACGGAGCGACGTTGTCCTCACCGGGAACTCAGACGCTTCTTGTGTTGACGACCAGGCTACGCAGCGGTCGTCACAGGGTTACACCTTCAACCTTGGCTCTGGTTCAGTTTCTTGGCGTTCTACACGCTCATCTTCAGTTCTCAGCTCCAGTTGTGAGGCTGAGATCTACGCCACAGCCATGGCTGCACAGGAGTTACGCTGGCTCACCTACCTGCTGACCGACTTGGGAGAGCGGCCTCGTTTTCCTCCAGTGCTGTACGTCGACAACAAGGCTGCCATTGCCTTGTGTCAAGAGCACAGACTGGAGCACAGAACGAAGCACATCGCTCTGCATTACTTCTTGGCTTGAGAGTTGCAGCAGCGTGGTCAGCCTCGTCTTGCTTACGTGGCCACTCGGGCCAACACTGCTGATATTTTCACCAAGGCACTTCCGTCTGGTGATCATCAGCGTTTCTGCACTTTGTTAGGCCTTGTGCCCACTTTTCCTCATTTGCTGTAGACTTTGCTTGTACTGTGATCTATATATATACATGCATTCTTGCTCTACTAGGTAGAGATCACTGTACTGTTGTTGTTGCATATATACCTCTACATGTGAACTGACCTTATGGCCCTTTGCTTGTGCTCAGTGTGTGTGGTGACATTGTGATCCACCCTGAGCTTGCTTTGCTTCTCTTGACTGGTCTTGTGACCCCTTGCTCTCCCCCACTTTGCCTATGGGGGTGTGTCAAATTTATATGCCTATTTCATAATTAATTGTAGGCTTTAGTGGGGTAGCTAATGTAGGGTATATATTTTGTTACTTGTTGTCAAACATTATATATGTTGTGTTAGTTTAGGCTACAGTGGGTTAGCCTATAGGGGGTACACAATTCTAGGGTTAGGTACTTGTACTCAT